GGGTGTTGGTCCGTGGATACTAAGTGGATCTTGGTTACGCAAGATCAATAACTTCTGGAGCTCCCAGGCACAGCACCGTGGCCTAGCTGACCATCCCGTGTCGTGTCCTGTCACTTGCTAGGAAGATAGATTTTAAATTAAATCTTCTCGCCGGGCCGGGCGTGACTCAGCGGTAGAACATCAACCTCGGACCCAGGAGACGGGCGCAGTTCGATTCCCGGTCAGGGGCGCGCACCTGGGTTGCAGGTTCGATCCCCAGCCCCGGCCGGAGCACATGGGGAGGCAACCGATCGGTGCGTCTCTCTCATCAATGTTTCTCTCCCTCTCTCTGTCTCCCTCCCTCCCCCCTTCCGCTCTCTCTAAAAATCAATGGAAAAAACATCCTCAGGTGAGAATTAACAAAAAATTAAAAAAATAAAAGATATATATGCACCTGACATATATTAGATATGATAGATAGATAGATAGATAGATAGATAGATAGATAGATAGATGATAGATAGATAGATGATAGATAGATAGATGATAGATAGATATAGATATAAACATGCAACCAATATGTTCACGCTCCAAGCGGATCCCACGGGGGGGCGGGATTTGCTCCCAGGGCAGCGGGAGGAAACGACGGAAGGGTTAGCGCCGCCCAAAGAAAAGTCGTAGCTGCTGGTCGCCACCCGGGGACGGTCTGCCTTCTGACCACGTTGCCCAGGCCACAGCCCCGACCGGAGCGGATTTAACTGCGTTGTTTTTTGGGGGGTTATTTTCCCTTCTCCAAACCAGGACGCTCACTTCCAGGGGAACCCGCCCGTGAGCTCCTCGGGGACCACGGGGAGCCGCGGCGTCGCAGCCGGACAACGCCCTCGGCCCCCCCAGCACGCACACAGCCGGCGGCCGGCCTGGAGGTGCGCAGCTCAGGTTTTACCGGCTCATAAAATTCCCCGGCGGCCCGAGGCAAGGCTGAAACCCTGACTTATTTACAGATGTCGAAAAGAAAATTAAAAGACACGCAGAGTCTAATGGGCTCTGTTTTCACTGGGGCCTGGGGGTTTTTTTGGGGGGGGGTTGTCTTTATCATTTGTGCTGATGTTTCCTACCTCTCGGAATCTGATTTACAAGACATGTAGAGCTGGGCCTTCTCTCTTCTTTACTGCGGCCAGAGCCCCCCTTTAATCTGAGAGAACAGAGCGAGGTTTACAGCCCTGTCCCCCCATAACTCAGGCAAAACGCAACACGAGCTCCGTCTGAGAGCTTGTGGGGAGGCCGTACATCTCGGCGGCCAGGGCCTCGTTTCATCCGCGACCCAGACAACTGCGGCGAAGCAGGGAGCGGACCCAGGAGCAGCTCACGACGCCAGGGGACTGTCCTGAGAGCTACACTCAGGGCCCGAAAAGCTCACCCCCCAAATCTCACACAGCGGCATCACCCGCCCGTGAAGGTCGCCTCGGTTAACGCTCGAGAGGGGGCATCGCTCTGGGTCCCCCCTCAGTCTCCCTTTGGCTTCTTCCCAGGGTGGCGAGAAGACGCCACTAACAGTCACGAATCGTGTGCCCACCACGTCACCGCGCCATCCAGCCCCTCCTCGGGGATCACATCACCGTGGTCAGCAGCTGGCTGCCAGGTCTGCAAAGCCAAGGGCTGCCTCTCTCGCGTGGCAGGAAAACACCACGCGGCAGGAGAAACACCCGCCCCGCGCACCTGCTCTACGTGGACACACTGGGCGCCCTGCCCGCAGGTCGGCTGATCATTACGGCAGCTGCCAGACCCGTCGCGCGTGCCCTGGAGGGGAACCCAGCCGGGACGCTCGTGGGTTGACAGTCACTGAGCCACACCGGCTGAGCGAATGTGTGTGTTTGATTTTTAATTGATTTTTTTTTTTAGAGAAAGAAAGGGAGAGAGAGAGAAACATCAATGATGAGAGTGATGGACCGGCCGCCTCCCGCAGGTCCCCTGCCGGGGATCGAGCCCGCGACCCGGGCCTGTGCCCTGACCGGGAACCGAACCCCGATCTCCTGGATCTCAGGTCGACGCTCAACCGCTGAGCCACGCCGGCCGGGAGAACTTGTTAGCAAGGAAGATACTTGGGAAAACAAGAGCGGAGAACTGCTCGGCCAACACGAGAGGTTTCCCCGGGAGGACCAGATGCAGAGTGAGCTTTATTAAATGGATTCTATAGATCTTCGTGACAGTAATTTTGACCCCCTATAGGCACCGTCAGCTGTTGAACAGTGGGAAATGTTGATGACCTTGTTCAGATTTCCATTTATATTTATTCTAAATTGGACACCTCAGCGATGGTTTAAATAAGAGATGGAAATTCACTGAACAACTCTGACAGCTCTGGCTCCGTCTGACTGGGAGGCAGCTGAGGCTCGCAGTAGGCGGGAGACGCCCAGGCGCGGGTCCCGGGTCTGCCATCGGCTCGACGTATGGACGGAGACAGGTCGCTACAGTCCCCTGAGATCCCACTTGCATCTGTGCCAAACAGGGACACCCCTGGCCACCCATCGGGGATACACCCGGAGGGAACCCAGTTACAGGAATGTCACACGTGGACAGCATTTGCTTTGGGCTGCCCGCTAATTCAGACTAATTTTCCCTTCACCTGTCTTTGTCGAGATAAAAAATGAGTCTTTCGGTTCACAGGAAACCCAAACCATGCACATCTAAACAGAACTGGAATTCGGCGGCAGTCACAGCTGGAGAGTCTAGACGCAGGCCAGCTTCTGTCCGGCCATCAACACGCATCTTCCCAGATGTCCTTCAGCCGGTAAATGGACAAGCACACGGCGGTAGGCCCATCGAACGGACTACTACACAGCGACAAAGAAGAAATGACAGGCACACCCCACAATGTGGCTGAACCTCAGCTGCATCCTGCGGAACGAGAGGAGCAACCTCGAGCGATTCTGTGTCCGTGACGTTCCACAGTTAGTTTCTCGGGACAATCGAGTAAGTGAGGGGGCCTGGGGGGCAGGGAGTACAGACCTGTGACGAAAAAGACAGGCAGGGGGCCCACAATAAAAGAAAGTGAAATGAGAATTGTTAACCCGCCTGGGATGAGTTACACATGTTGCCAGATTTCGGAGAAAGGAGAGGTCAATATTGGCTGGACATTACCACAGGTTTCCCATGAGTGAAATATTGGAAGTAAGAACAGTAAGAACCAGCAAGTGCCCCATGCTTATGACGTGTCAATCACTGTCCTCACTGCTTTACCTGTAGTAGCTCTTCACACATTGACTCCCGACACAATCCCGTGAGACAGGATGTTATCCTCACACGGCCACATTATTAATATCATTACATAATTATAGAAATAGTTTATCATTATATAAGTAATGTTATTATGTCCATTTTATCGATTAAAAAGTCGAAGGCACAGAGAGGTCGAGACACCCGCCTGAGGTCACACAGCATGCCAGGGGTGGAGCCAGGGTGGGGCTCCGGAGTCCAGGTTCTGACCTTGGTTTCCACTGGCTCAGGACACCTGTAATCCTTTCCTTATTTTCCTCCGTTCGGTCCCACGGCTACTGCCGCCCCAGACTCGGTCACCTCCTTTCACCCCAAGCAAAGAAGGCTGCCAGGAGTCTGCAGAATAAAACTCATCGAGGACGCAAGGAGAGAAATGGAACCTCCCTCAGCGCACGGTCCCCGGGTCTATGTGCGAACCCCCCTCACAGGTGAAATCTCTCAACACCAGCTTCGGGGAACCTGCCCCCTTCTCTCAAATTTAATTCAGAGCTTATTCTGTGTGGGGCAGAGTCAGCGGGGAGCAAAGGGACACAGAGGAGAGCATTCTGGGGGGTGGAGGCAGATCCCGGG